TATATATATATATATATATATATTATATGGGAGGGATAAAATGTAAACCAAAATTATTTGTATAAACCGTGAAAACTGTCAATTTCGTTGTTTACATTAGTGAAATTTTTTTTATGAAATTGTTTCAAACAATTCATTTCTTGATGAAAATGTTTAATAAATTTTTTGTTTTTATATAAAAATTAAATTGTTTCATGTATTTCTCGATTTTAATGAAATTTGTTTACTAAAATTATTAGAATTAAGATGATAGTGTTCATAATGACTTGAAATGAATTATTCGAAACAATTTCATCATATTGAAAAATTTATGAATTTTTTTACGAAAATAAACTATAAAATTGACGATTTTCACGTTTTATACAAATAATTTGGTTTGCAAAATATTCCTCTCATATATATATATATATATATATATATATAAAAGATGGTGAGACAAAGTATGAAAATTTTGTATATGCTTGTTGTGAAGGTTTATTTTGTGTTTATATGAAAGTTTAACATGATAAAAGAAACTCATCTAAACACGTCATTGATTTCTTTTTAAAAAAAATAAAATAAAAATAATTTAGGATATTTAGCCATTTATACCATTATTAATTTCTATTTTGTTTAAATATACACTTCTATTTTAATTATTACATTTCTTTTCTCCATTTATAACAGTAGATGTCATGTTAATTATACATATAACTAGTCTCTCTCTCTCTAGATATATATATAGAGAGAGAGAGAGGGTCATTCAGGTGATAACTCAAGAAGTTGTAATAATCATGAGATATAATCTCAACCACAAATCAAAGGTTAATTAGAATATTAATAATTATGGTAAATTTAACTAAAAATATTAATTAAGGGTATTTTAAGGATTTTAAAAATCTCTTCTCTCCTCTCTTCGGTGAACCATATTTAGGAGGTGTTTGAGATTGTTTATAAAAACAACTTATTGACTTATTTCGGTATGACACCGGTAATAAGCACTTTTGAGTGTTTGGATAAACAACTTATACCGGTGTCAAACCGGTAATAAAGAGTTTTTAAAGAAGTTAAACTCTTCTGACTTATAATAAGTGGATAAGTGCTTTTGTAGAAAAGCATAAGTTGATTCAAATAAGCAATCCCAAACACCCCCTTAGACAAACCTTATTCTAATGAAGCAGAAGTTGAATGTGTTTAACATATATGATTAAGTGTCTATATGTTGTCGATGCACCATGTGTTTAATCATATATGATTAAGTTTGTGTATCATGTATGTAATCATATATTAAGTGTCTATATGTTCTTGTATTCTCATAAAATGTTTATTTTTTCTTTTGAACCTACTCATATATATATATATATATATATATATATATAAGGTATATTTCAAATGCAACAATGTTTATTTGTATAACCAATGCACCACAATCAATTGCGATATTTATGAAAATGATGAGAGTTCATTTATTATTATTTGAATATTTATGAAAGATGATTAAAGTTCATTAATTGTTATCAATACATTATATTAAGAAACAATAAAAACTTGTATGAAATAACATATTTATCAAATTAAATGAACGATTGAGATTGAGTTGTATTGATTGTATAAATGTAAAAGATTGTATAATAACTCACCTCTTTATATATATATATAGAGAGAGAGAGAGAGAGAGGATGTCTTGGAAATTGGAGTTATATATATATTTAGGATGTCTTAGAAATTGGAGGAGTTGGATTTAAGGAGATTTGATTTATGGTGGGAAGATGTGAATTTGCTATTGAGTTATGGATGTTTGCAAGGCATGAGCATGAGAACATAAAAGACTGGATCCATTAAATTTCATAAATCAATGGGCCCCACCCCCCAATTTGTATGGAGATACGTCATTTTTTAATTAAATTAAACAACTATTATCTTTGTTTTCTCATGTAAATTAAATCATTAAATACTAATACCAATATTAATTTCTACACATAAATAATTTCCATATTTAGATCGGATTTGATGCACTAATTGGGATAAATTATAAAATTAAAATAAAATAACAAAAAAAATGAAAAATATTGAAGAAAGTGTGTGTGTGGGGTGGAGTAATTACCATTATAACCTTAAAGTACGTGGCCCAATATAGTTCCAAGAGTCATCCAGTTATCATTATAACATCCGTATATAAACCAACCCACCTTCCATTAATTCAAACCCACGAATATTGGAAACAATTAAGATGGAAGGAGTCATTACAAGATCAAGATTCAAAACTGTGTGTGTTTTCTGTGGCAGCAGTGCTGGCAAAAGAGATTGTTACAGAGATGCTGCACTTGATCTAGCCCAAGAACTGGTATATATATATATATGGTCTTTTCCTTAAATTCCGGTTTTACCCTCCACCTATACATACACTGGATCTTATATCTATATGTTTTTGAAGGTGAAAAGGAAGCTGGATCTTGTTTATGGTGGAGGGAGTGTTGGGTTGATGGGATTGGTTTCGCAGGAGGTTCATCGGGGCGGTGGCCATGTTTTAGGGTACTTCCCCTCTCAATTTACCTTTATACCCTTTATTTCTCTCTCTCGTATCTAATTTTCTTCAATACAAAATTTCTTCTCAGGATTATTCCCAAGACTCTCATGTGCAAAGAGGTATTACACACATATATATATATATATATATGATAACGTTTACAAATATTCATATGTGAATAATTGGTAAAAAGAAATGTTGGTTCATATATCTTTGTATGTGAATCATCAAAAAGGTTGGTAACAAACGTGGGTTCATATTAGATTTACCAATGATTCACATATGAATATTTTATCACACATTTTCAACCTTTTTGCCTTTTTTCATTTGAACATTCGTGTGTGCGTGCACGAGCGCGCACACACACACATATATATATATATATATATAATAAGTTATGAATGGATATTTTGCAGATAACTGGAGAAACAGTTGGAGAAGTGAGAGCAGTATCTAGTATGCATCAAAGAAAAGCTGAAATGGCTCGTCATTCCGATTGTTTTATTGCCTTACCAGGTCCCAATTCCACCAACAATAAACAATTTATTTATTTATTATAAAAATAAATATGATTTTATTTAATTTAATTGGGTTTACAAAGATATTTCAATTCTAAATTCAATTAAAATTTCTAATTTTGAAAATAACTAAAAAAATATTTAATTAATTTTGGTATTAAATATTTGTAGGTGGATATGGAACATTGGAGGAATTATTAGAGGTTATAACGTGGGCCCAGCTTGGAATTCATGACAAACCTGTAAGTAACCAAACCAAACGAAGCCTTTCATTTCATTTGTTTCGCCAAATCTGGAAAACGTAAAATCTTGCAATTTTTGTAGATGTATGATTATACAGTACAAATCATTAATGCATATTAAAAATCCCGATGATACGATAGGTGGGTTTGCTGAACGTGGATGGTTACTATAACTCGCTGCTTGTCTTCATCGACAAGGCAGTGGATGACGGATTCATCATGCCAGCTCAGCGTCACATCATCGTTTCTGCCCCGAACGCCAAAGAGCTTGTTCAAAAACTTGAGGTACCATATATAAGCTCGTATACTGATCGATACATGTATGAAGGGATTTAGGGTACAAGTGATTAATGCAAATATGATTGCAGGATTACGTGCCGATGCATGATGGAGTGGTGGCCAAGGCAAGATGGGAGGCGGAACAAGTGGAGCTAAACGCGTCTTTGCACTCGGAGTTAGCCAGATGATAAAATTACGAATTTGGGCATTTTAGTTATGTTTTTTTTTCCTTTTCTAATTGAAGTTTCTGAGGGTATTTTGGGAAGATTATAATTGTAATTAGTGTGCTTCCTGTAATTCCTTTTTATAATTGAAAAATCCTAGTTTGCAAGACTTTGAAGGGTAATTCAGTCATTTTAGTTTGTTTTTGGATTAAGGAAATGGAAAATGTAAGTAAAAACATCGTTCTTCTGTAGCTATGTTAAAATAGAAATCTTAGAAATATAAATGCTTTTTATTCCAACAACTGTATATGCTAAAATGTTCTTTAAAATTGAGAAATAGATAAAAAAAAATGTATATATCTTTAAAACTTAATATTAAGCAGATATATAATATTTTAATTGTTTCCAATATTAAGATAATGAATTTTGTAGAATATTTTAAAATATTGGGATCTTTGAAATAACTATTTTAATTTTAATTTTAATGCCCAATTTTTTTAATTAATAATGAAAATGTTAAAAAAAACTCAATGAAATATCTCATTTTAAATGATTAAGTTCTTGAATTATCTTTTTTAATAAAAAAAATCATTAAACTTTCTTATTTTGATTGATTAAGTCTTTAGATATTTTTTTAATAAATAAATCATCACACTACTAAAAATTGGTTACTTACATCATTTTAACCCAAAAAAGTTCGATGGTGTATTTTTTTAAAAAAATCCAGGGTCTTAATTATTCAAAATGTTAAAGTTTGATGGTTTTTTCATTTAAAAAAAAATAGTAAAGAAACTTAATCATTCGAAATGAGAACATTTAATGGTTTTTTGATTCAAAATAATAATTTAGAGCATAAATCATTCAAAATGAAAAAGTTTATTGGATTTTTTTCGGACTTTTCTCATTAATAATTACGAAATTATGACAACTTATTTTGATAAAAACAAGTTGTCCAAAAGTCCCGTTTGGCTTGTGGGGTTGTAATGGATTTTGATTTTCATTTCATTTCAATTTCATGTTTGGTTTGAAGAATTTTTTACATTTGAAATCACGAGATTTCAAAATTTTACAAATATAGAATTTTGAAATTGCACATGATGCTTAGCATTTCACGAGATTTCGTATGATCAATATGTAATAATGTTCCAAAAATGGTTAAAACATTTGTTCTGTACAAATAAAAATGTAATTTAGTTACTTTTATAATTATTTATAATTTATTTTTATAAATTATTTATAAAGAACAAAATTCTATTTTATTCTAAATTCTACACACCAACGATTTCAAATTCAAGCACTTTTACAAAATCCAAACCCTTCAAAACAATTCATCAAACCAAACGTCCACTAACAATATTTCAATATTTAAATTTTATTATAAATTTAGGAAATTCAATATTTTGTATTTATTCTTTATAAATATATACTATATTATAAAGCTTTTGACAAATACTATTAAAAATTATTTTTTATGCATAAAGTACTGTTTATTGATACATATTACTTAAAATTCAAGATTACAAGTAAATTGTGCATAAATACAACTTATTAAAGCTTTATGTTTGAATTCCTGTAACTAACTATGGATAAACATAATCAAATAGAGGATACTCATATCAAGTAAAATATAAAAAAATCTAAAATATAGTTAGGATAATTATTGAATTCTAACAAAATATTTAATTATTATCTTTATAAAAAATATTATTAAATCTAAATCAAGTTACTTCATTACATTAAATTAAATTATAATAAAAATTTTGAATTAAAAAAAATAAACAAACAAGGACTTTTAAATAGTTAATTTGATACTAATATTGATGTTTTTGCAAATTTTATATAATATTTTCAAGTTTATATTTTATTCAAAAATAAAAACATTATCGTTTTTTCAAAACCATATAAAATCGTATTATATCGACATAGATAAAAAACAAAACAAAACATTAAAATAAAAATGTGTCTCGATACATTGCACGAGTACCTTTCTAATATTAATAAATTTATTTAAAACAAAGTCAAATATAACACGTCTCTCATGACATGTATATACGTATATATTTATATAAATATAAATATAAATAGCTTTTTCCTTTATCTTTTTCGAGTCACTTAAAAGTCATCCACCAAATAGTGAAACTTCCTTTTTTGAGTTCAGTCACGTTTTTTTCAAGTATATTGGAATAAATAATTTTTATTCTAAAATATTGTATTACATGATATTTTCTATCTAAGACCAACATTTAATATATTGATGAACATATATTTATTTCATATGTATTTCGTTCACAGTGTGTAACTTTTTACATGTAGGTTTTGTTTCAAAATCAGACTAAAATGATTTATATGTTCATCAGTATTTTAGATTCTAGTAGTAGATGTAAAAAATAGCATATGATGTACTAGTTCTTAAGATTATCACAATTTTATGGATTCTCAAAATAAAACCCGTAAATTATTATATTATCTAAAAAATTTAATTGTATTGTGATTTTATTCATGATTTTTAACATCCAACTATCAAATTCTAATTCAAGATTTACAAAATAAAATCTTAAATAATCAAAAGAGATGTGAACTAATTTTAGATGCTTCTAAATGTATTTTTTTTAAAGTATATAATATTTATATACGATAAAATAGAACAAAATAAACTTATACATCCTACTCAACTTTGGTAAGGTTTAAACCTCTAACTTTCTAGAAGGCCAAAAACTCATATACTGTTAGGCCAAATGTTCTTTGGTTTATAAATACATCTTCCAAAGACAAAAATGTTGAAAATATCTTTGATGTTTAAAAGAATTATGTGTTTTGAGTGTATCCAAGAGATGATAATAATTGAGAAACGATACCATTTTAAACTTAAACGTAACAAATAACTTGACATAAAAATCGGTGTCGGTTTTACTTAAGGGTGGCAAAAAATGACCTAACCCGTTAACACAACCTAATCCAGAATTAGCAGGTTGGGTTGAAATTTTTAACCCGTTTAAATAAATGGGTTAACCCGTCTGACCTATTTAAATAAATGGGTTGGGTTGGATTAAATTTTTTGACCTATTTTCAACCCGTTTAAAATATTAAATTCTACTATCGTGAGATGAAAGTCCAAATTCCAATCGCCTCCATTACTCTTAATTATCATGAAACTCTAAGAAAACCCTTTAGTCCATTACTTCATTTTCCAATTTATTTTGAACAATATATTTGTTGTGGTTGTGTTATGTTTTACTCAAAAAAATCAAATAGTCTAGCCCTTTTTTATTTAAAATTTTAAAATTAAATGGGTCAATCCAGGTTCATCCCATTTATTTAACATATTGGATTAAGAAAATCATAAACAGATCAACCCGTTGTCAACCCATTTAAGTAACATGTTGGGTTAGGTTAAAATACCTCAACCCATTTAATTAAATTAATTGGTTTGCTTGATATTTTCAACTTGTTTAATAAATGGGTTAAACTCGAATCTAACCCAACCTGACCCATTACCACATCTACCCTTTAAGCCTTTGTATTGTAAAATACATCATGGCTTTATGTATAATTCCTTAAATAACATCTACAATGTCGTACAGTATATTAGATGTCTTATTGAAGGGTTTCCCACCAACTGAATTTGCAAATTGCAATGACATGTGCCATTCTCAAATTTGGTCCACCCCTATCTTCATTCATTGGAGATAAGAGACGTGAGGGGGATGGCGTTTACTTTTTTCGGTAATCGTAACGTCTCGTTTTTATCTGGTCTGAATCGACCCTCATATACCGTCAACGATATTTAAATATGAAATTCATTAACGTGTTAGAATGCAAGAATATTCTTGTCAAGATGACCGTTCGTTTTCAGATATCACAATGCAATAAAACTGATTTATAAAGCATCTTAATTTACAGCTTTATCAAATTTGTGTTACAAAATGATGGTATGACGTAATTATCATCCAAACAAGTTTTTTATAATACTTTTGGAATAAAGTGTTTTATTAGTTTTTTACATGACGAGTTTTTAAAAGTGTTGTATGAACATGTAAAAATGGGCAAATTACATGAAAAAGTAACGTGCTTTATAACTTGATTCTTATTTTGTTTGACGTACTTTCAAAACTTTCATTTTGGTACCTAAGATGAAAAGTTTTATACATTTAAGTATCCGGGTAACCGATTGAGGCATTAACCGATTTCCATACTAATGTGATATCCAACTCAATATTATTTGCTGAAGCATTAACCGGATAATACATCACTCGCCACATCAACATGACAACCACTTAATGCTTCAACCAATCCACCGACTAAAACAATGGTTGGAAGCATTGATGATGACCAAATGATCAGCACCACATAATTGGTGGGAAGCCATGCCCCTTAACTTCTTCATGCATTTAAACAACTATTCATATATCTGTATGCTGTACGATGTGGAGTCCTGAAAATATATTTTATTTTATTATTATAAAAAATATTAAATTTTATTAAATATTAAATGATATTATATAAATAACATTTTATTGTAACAAACCTTTTTTGTCGCATCGTATAGATGAGACCACAAATTTCTTGTATCACAAGGATGGGATAACCCCCTTTGCTCGCATCAAACAGATACGATAACTCATCTTATCACATCCAACACATGCGATGAACACTCTTTGTTGCACCAAGCAGATGGGATAAACATCCTTTGTCACATCACACTGATTCGATAAATGCAACTTGTCGCACCATAAGAATGCGATAAACACAATTTGCCGCACCTCAATGATGTGATAACCCAATTCTTCGCACCACAAGGATGCGATAAACATCTTTCTCGCATCACTTTGATGTGATAATATCGTCTCATCACATCATAAAGATGCGTTAAACCAATCTCATTGCATCATGAAGATGAAATAACAGTCTCCACATGATCAAAATCCAATTTTTAACATACAGTTGATTTTGTCATCCTTATCCCAATATACGTCTCTCCTGATTATGTCACCCTTATCCCAAAATACACATCTTCTGATTATGTCACCCTTATCCCATGATATACCTCTCCCGATTATATCATTTTTATCCCATAATACACCTCTCCTGATTATGTCACCCTTATCTCATAATACACCTCTCCTGATTATGCCATATTTATCTCAAAATACACATCTATAGATTATGTCACCCTTATTCTAATCAGTTGATAACAACATATCAAAATATCAAATTATGCAAAAAAATGAC